ACAGGATAAATTTTCTTTATTATCTATGAATAAAAGTTCCCATCTACATTACTGCTGTGGCAATGCACATATACTTTATTGCTTCAACATAATGAACTTTTAATCCTTATATAGCCATACATGGCATCCCTCTTCCATCAAACTCCATGTATACACTCAGATGAGACAGGGTATCTCATGTGGGAATATTTTTCTGGAATTGCATCTTCAGTTATCTTCCTTCATGGGCACCTCCAAACCTCACACTAAGCAACTGTGGGAGAGATCCCAGAGCCTCTGCTGAGGATCAGTCTTAGTCCTGTGCACTGGGCAGTGTTTGTATTTAGTCTGCTGGCCCACAGGTCCAGTACCTCCCTTGCTTTTGTGACAGAAACATTTTCAACTGATGTAGCTACTCTTAAAATAAGCCTCATAACTATTTCCTCCAATCCCACTGACTCTCTGCTGTGTTATGATTTGTAGAAGTGACTCCCCTAACTTCAGAGAAAGGCAGTTTCCATCATCACTTCAGTCCCAGGGAGAACAGGAAGCCATTATTACAGCATCATTACCCATAGCAGTAATCTTTTTGATTCAGGGATGGGCTTTCTTCATGGTCTGCCTCAGATGCTCCTTTGATCCCCTGACTGGGAAAGTCAGTGTATTCTTTACGTCTTTTGCTCCCTTGCCTCAACTGTTCCACCGTTTGAGAGAATACACCTGTCTGTTACTTGATACCCACTTAGTCAAATCAGTGTGGTTTCAGCATCTTCTAGCCTTCCTTGTGTGTTGTCTTCCAAGTCCTTCTCTATGAGAACATGCTGAACTCAGATCATGTATGTCACCTGCGCCTCCATTCCTGTCCACTCACGGCTCACCTCCTGCTCATTCCAGCAATCTTACCTATGTGATGCACTAAGAATCTAAACCAATGTCTACTTGCTCACTTCTTCAACTTTCAGTGCAAATGGTCTCTCTGGCAGCTCTTTGGGAACTTTTCCTGTTTAATCATAAAATTATGAAGGTGACAACTTCCAAAGTGGAGGCAACTTTTCATTTTAAGTGGGAAGAATGTTCTGGACACAATCCTATAATCTCCTCTTCCATGCCAAAGATGGTAACTTCCTGCTCATTTACACCAGGAACACAGTTTGGAACTTCTTCACAGAGTCTGCAACAGTTATGGGGAAAGTGGATAAGTAGATTTTTCATGGTTTCTTTACAGATTTCGGGAGGCCCTGATTACTCAGCTCCAAGGTAGAAATTCCTAGAAAGTTTGGGCTGCTGAGGTGCCAGGATCTATGGAAAATATTTTGCTGTGGGAACTAAAATACATTTATATCTCACTATGTGTTCAGCTATGTCTCCCACAGCAAGGCTGAATCTAGTAAAGTTTCCTAATATTCTACGCATACAGCAGGGACAAGCTGGTGTTTTGCATAATCCTCATTCTATACATTTGAACAGGTCTGATAGAAAAACTGATTTTTTTCTAGTTTTTATTGTTTTCTTTGGAGAGTTGTCCAAAAAAAGATATAAACAGCAATAAAAAAGAACAACTGGACTACTACTTTGTCTTGACATAAAGTCATATCAGCCAGAAGATAGGACAGACAATTAGTGTTGCAGTAATTCTTTTATCTTATGTATAAATCTGATGTTGGAAGATAAATATTATGAAAATGTAAGCATGAAAAATTGTGTTTATATATTAAATACTGCTTTGTTCTAGAGAAAACATGACAGTTTTTTATTCCTGGATGAATATGAATGGAAATGAAAAATAGTCTAGAGATCCTTTGTCTTTGTAGGTATCAGGTGTTGCTTCTCACTTGCTCTTATTGCTGTTCCACCTACCTGAAGCTATAGGAAGGTGAACAAGCAGAATCAACTTGGGCTTTTGCAGCTTACTCACTGGAGTCAGCCTGACCAACAACATCCCAGCCTTGAGGAAATACATAGGTAATCTACAAAACCAAACCAACAATTATGCAAACATCTTTTTCCAATTTACTGGCATTATATTCTGTATGAAGAAATAACAGAAAATAAGCCCAAGAGAACAGACCTTTTAAAATAAAAAATACATTTTGAATCACATATATCTGATCTAGACTTAAGGAACAAGCCAAAATAAGAGCAGTAGTTGCCAATATTTTCTTTTAATTTTCTACAGACTTTTTCCAACAAGATGAGAATGACAATTTTCATTTCCTAAGTTAACTCATTAAGAAATGCTAATTGATCTCTTTCCTGCATTCAGTTCACTTTTCAATCGGTTCTCCCTTTCTTCTCTCCATTTGCTGTAACTTATGTGTGTAGGTGTTGTCTGTGTATGTATGGGTGCTATCTTGGATATTTATTATGTAAGTTAATGTCGTGGTTATCTCTCAGGTAATTCCCAAAGCAAATACCAAAAAAAAAAAAAAAAACCAGAAAAATGCTGTTAAAGCAATTACTTCCAACTGTATGTGTTGAAGAAATTAAAGACTTCTTCCTAAGGTGGACTTTACAGTCAGCCGAGCATCTGACCAGAGTGTAAAAATGCAGCTTTACATTATAAATATGATAGAGGAAAGGCTCAACACTGGTGAGAAGAAAAACGTCAAACAAAACCAAGATGCAAACGGGAAACAACTTCTAAAAGTTTTAATTTTCTTTTCTTCTTTTCTTAAAAAACCTTCCAGGGGGACTGGATAGCTCAAGGGGTTGGTAATAGGATACAGAGCCTTTCATCTCTAGGTCACCAGTTCGCATCCAGGCCAGGTCAGTAGTGACCAAAAATTGTTACCATGTGATGGGTTTTCAGTGACCTATATGAAATAAATTGTTGGAAGCATTGTTGGAACATTTGCTAGAACCTGTTCTCTTTTTATCCAAGAAGATGTGGCTGATCTTTTCATAGTCTCAGTGGTGAGACTGCATTACCCGTTCATCTAAAGATGCAAGACACACCGATGGCATTTTGTAGAAATCTTTCTTTCTACAGCTATTATCAATTCATAGTTGTTGTAACAATTACTGTAGTTGTTAGTGTTCTGCTGCGTGTTCTGGATCTGTGCTGCGGTCCAATGGATCTCAGGGTTGTTATAAAAGTAATTGCTACAGGCACTCAATTCATGCAAAACCATTCTTTGTGGGAGCACAGGTAACCATAATTTGTTTAAGTTGCAGAACTAAATCCCCATCTTTCTTTCTTGACATCTTTATTTTCAGGTTTTTCACAAGATTAAACAGAGGAATTCAATCAGTGTAACACATCCAGAACATTTTTATGAGTGGAAAAAAAATGATAAGACAAAAACTAGCTGGCTTGGAATTTCAAAGCAGCAATAACATAATACAGTGTCATAGACCAGGTCATACTTGGAATAAATTCCAGAATTTCTAATTCCATCTCTAATTTTTATGTTGTTCTCAGTTCCATCAAGCTAAGTATCAACAGATTTATGTTCAGAATATTACTGGGACCTTTTTAGCCTTTTTAAACACTTCTCAAAATGGCTGTCTTATGCATACATTGCTTAGATACTTCACATTTTCTAAGAAATCTCAAGAAGTAAGAATGCTTCCTTTAAAGCTTTCATCAAAAATAGAAGCTACCAAAAAAAAAAAAAGCTAAATTTAAAAAAAAAAAATCATGATTTTATAAAAGATAAGGCTTATTCTCAGTTACAGAAAGGTCCCATTTCTACTGTTGTGCAGCGGAGGAGACCCTTCTAAATAAGGAGAAAATATGCCCTGAAAATAACATTTCTACCTCAGATCTCTAAACAGGTCCTAATTCCTGGCCATAACATTTGGGAGGAGGAGGGTGTGCTGAGTGACGAATAACACAACCACAATATTCCTCTTCCAAAGGCCTTCAAGAGGCTGTGAAATACAGGTAGTAAGACTGAGCAGTTCTGAGCTTCCTCAGAACTATTTTGGTAGTGGGAAGGATGCATCTATATTGCAGGGGACAAAGATGGACTAAGACAACTTAATGCTCTCCAAGTATCCATGCCAATCTTTTCCTGCCCCACTGCAGGACTTGGATTACTGAGAATCAGAGCCCTACTGTATGTTTTATTTTACATTCATACAAGGTTCCAAAAGTTTACAGAGGAAAAAGAAATTAAAACAAAACATAATTTTTAAATGAGAATCTGATATTGGATACTTAAGGATAAATAACTGCTCATCATAAAACTTTTGGTAGCTCTGACAGACACATGTGATTAATGACTGAATATATTAGAACAATACACTTTTTATTGACATAAGGTTTATTGACGTTTTGCCTGCAAGTGGCTGAGAAGGCAACTGGCCAAAAGTAATTTAATGCAAAATCAAAAGCTCTAAATATGTCCTTCTTTAGATAAATGAAGGGTATTGCTGACTTAAACTTAATACATGAAACAATATGACTGGAGCTTGAAATAAATTATGTTGATTCAAGTAGACACATATTGCAAAACTGTCTTGCTTTTCTATACAAAGAAATTAATCTTTGTTATAATCTTGCATGGAACAATAAGGCAATAAAGATATGTATTTAATTTGTGCATAATCCTTTTAATGTAGAGCTTAGTTTCTAGATTCATGGCATTTGTGTTTTCAGCTTAAATTTCAAAGCTATGTTGATCAAATCTACAGGTTGCTATTTTTTTTAGACATTTTTAAGCTATAATTTGATGCATTTTTAGAATTTTGTTATGTCTATATTTTCATTCAACACATTTTTTCTTTTTTATCTAGAATACATCAATGTTAGGCTTCATCTTATTACCACTGGGTCTTCTCTTCTGTTTTTCTATTAATGATTTTCATTTTCTTACTTATTTTCCTTTCATTACATGTACTAATATTAATAACTTAAAAGAACAGTGCAATGCTAGAGTTATTAATGTACTGCTTTAAAATTTATAGTATTAGTTTCTGAACAAGGATTTATTAAGCACTGGTGAAACAGTATACAAAACTTACTGCTGTAAATATGCTTATACTCTTTTCTCTCTCCCCCTGTATTTGTGTACTAGGTGGTTGTGAATGCCCTTTTAGGAGCAATTCCATCCATCATGAACGTGCTTCTCGTTTGTCTTATATTCTGGCTAATTTTCAGCATCATGGGAGTAAATCTGTTTGCTGGGAAGTTCTACTACTGTGTTAACACCACAACTGATGAAAGGTTTGAAGTCGACCAAATCAACAATTTTAGTCAGTGCGAGGAACTCATAAAAAACAATCAAAGTGCCCGATGGAAAAACGTGAAAGTAAACTTTGATAATGTAGGATTTGGGTATCTTTCTTTACTTCAAGTAGTAAGTGATCACTCTTTATATACCTTTTACTGTTTATATGTAATAGTGAAAAGCAATTCTAGCAACAAAGAGAGAAAACATTTACCTGATTATTTTTATCTGTGACTTAGTAATACCACTGCACTGGTAATTGATTAATCTTTTCATCACAAGCAGCAAGTAGAGCCTACTAGGATGAATAAAGAATTTCTAGGACATCTAAAGAAACAAGTGCTGTTTTTCCCATTTATAGCTCCCTTAGTCCTCCAGCCCCTTCCAACTTTTAAAGTTTCTAGAAGTACCTTGGAATGGTATTCAGCTACCTGAATATTTTAAGTTTTCCTGTTGCTGAAAAACAAACATCTCCATTGGTGTGATTAAGTCACAGAGAAGAATTCCAGGTAGTAAACCTCATCTGTCATGTGGCTGCCACAAGTGCAGACTTAGGTGATCTAAGAAGCAATTTCTCATTCAGGAGAGAAATAAGAAAAGAAAAATATCACTGAATACCATAATCTATGAAATATTTTCCCTGATATTTCTGTGCATAAGCACCTAGTGGGGTTTATTTAGCAAAAACCAAGGGAAGAAGGAAGAAAATATATGCAGAAAGATACTATAAGATTATGCATTTACTATCAAAAATTGTGTCCACACAACACAATCTGTCTTTGTATTTTGAAGTAGTTAACAGGCTGACCCAGCTTTAATCAAGAAAATTCTGAACTCTAGCATATGTTGTGTGTCTTCAGCAACCTCTATGGTTTTTTTTAGGTTGCTGTCTAATTCTGTAGCATCTTAGGTTTCATTTTTTTAGCTTTTAAATAAGTTTCTAGCTTTTATGCTGGCATGTGAAATCTCAATAATACAAATCATTAACATGATGAAGTTGTATCGACATGGTCCTGCACAAAGTCTAAAACAGTAGTTCTGAGCAGTGTGAACTGCCTCTCCCAGATAACATATCATCTTACCTGTGTGACTGATAACTCTGACAATTTAAATAATCGTTTCATTATGATTATTTACTTTACTGTCACATCAGGAAAGAGTGGAGAGGGACCAACAGTATTAAAGAAATAAACTACTGAATACAACTTGGTTTTGATAACAAAATTTTATTGTAATAGAAAGACTTTAAATTCTTATTTTCTTTGCCTTATTTATGAAATCCACTGACCCAGAGGGCAGAATGTTTTATTACACGTGTTCAGGATAAACAAGACATCAACAAAACTCAAAAATGATGGTTTGTTTTGGTTTTTTTTTTTGTGTAAGTAGAATGTCTATGTATTGCTAAAATGCCTGTAAAAGCATGAAAGGTTTTTTTTTGTTTGACATACCAGAAAAAAAGGGGCACTTCTCTCATTGCACAAAACAGACACTTGGCCCTGCATCTTTTAAGGTTTGGTAAGTAAGCCACCAGTAACAACTTGGGAGTTATGGAATGATAAGAGCCCTAGGGCAAAGAAAGAAAAATATCAGCTTGATTTTCAATTAATGTATTATAATGTGCAGAATCTATGTTTTTCACCTTCAAAACACAATCCATAAATGTTAGAGATTCTTACATTACTTTCTGAATCAAAGAAGACAGTTATAAGGTGATTTTCTATTTGATGTATAAAGTACTTTGAACGAGACTCTAGAACAAGGCTCCAAAGCCATCACGCCCAAAAGAAACATGAAAATTGAATAGATATGTCATTGTCCTTGATTTACCTACCCTTCCTAAACATCTTGCAGCAATAGTAATGATGATTAAATTCTAAGGTATTACTCAAATAGAGGTATACATTACTATGTCAGAAAGAAAGATAAAGCTATTGAAGCTTTAGTATTTGGCCTAAAATAAGATACTGAGCCTGAAAAATCTGATTATAAAATCATGTTTGCAAATGGATTACTTTTTGTGAACCTAATGTGAACATTAATGGACTTTTTAAAACATCCTAATGATTAGTTGAAAAGTCTACTGAAGTCATTTGGTTCTCCACCTTAACAACTTCTGGCACAGACTGCTGTTAGGTTGTGATGGACCTGAGAAAATAACCCCATAGAGGTCAACGTCATTTTTCTGATGACAATCTCCGTGATAAGTATCAATGCACGAGTTACTGATACAGGTCCCTATTTTCAGGAGTCTACAAACTAACTACAGAAAGCTTCCTCTTATTCCCCAGTATTTCCATTCTCCATTCTGCCCTCGGACTCACGCCTTTTGCATCAGTTAAAGAATGTAAATCTCTTCAGTATTTCTGTGTTACAGGAACCATAACGTTAGTGTTACTTTCTGTGTCACTATCTTGAGTGAATACTACTGGAAGTAGTACCATTTTCATGACAAAAAGTGGAAATGAAACCAAGTCAAAAGAACTGCAAAACTTCAAACCTGGACACTGAGGACTTTACTATTGTGGGAAAGACATAAATAAGTCCTCTGAAAAACTTTTTTTTTAATATTTCTTATAGTATGTGGGTCTGTTCATCCCAGAAAACTCTTCTTTTTTGTACAAGTTATATAGAAAAGAAACATAGATATTTCACACAGAAGCATTCAAAAATTGTGGGGTAATTTCAGAAAGAAGTATTGTGGGCTCAAAAAACAGAAATGTCATAGTAGCATTTTAAGCAAAAATAACCCTCTGATAAGCTCTTTCTTGAGTTTACTTGGTAGTGCTGGCAAATGAATTTCTGCAATGAAGGGCCGAAGAAAACAACATAACCTAATTTTTGGTTGGGGTTTGGTTTTTGTCTTTTTTCTTTTGGGACACAGGTGTGTGTGGAAAATCTTTAGTATTATAGCAATGTTACAATTCTTACTGCCCAAAAATACAGGCTGACCATATATATAATTGATAAAACCAAGTTTTATAGACTTTGTTGATCAGACTATTTTCCAGAATTCTTATAGAATCTGGAGTATAAGTACTTATGCCATCAGCACATAAGTACACATTCTCTCTCTAAGATTTTTTTCTTCTATGATGCAGCATAGATCATGTTGGTTTGTGTGGATCTTAAAGCTTTTTTCATTTCTTGGTCTGAACTTGCTTGAGTATTTCTCTGTCCCTAAAGAGAAGCATCAAAGCAGAGACAGATATACTGGAGAAATTCCTTTCACAACTGGCATGCATCAAAAAGTGAAGAGGAAGAGGTTGGTGTACAGAGAGATGTGGCATTTGCCTTGATAATTTTATGGCCTTATGCCTTTTAACTTGAACTTAGTGTTTGGATTCTTTGGTAAGTAAATCTCACAGAGGCCTGCTTTTATCCTGCTAGTAAGCATATACCCTGCTTGCCAGGATAAAATGTGGCAAACCAGTGGGTCTCAAAGCACAATATTATATTATACTCCTGTTACTAATATCAATAAGAAAATACATCTTGTGAAGTGCAGGGTAAAAAAATCGGAAGTTGAATTCTAGGGCTAGAAGTTTAGGATACCTTCAAAGTTCCAGCAGGTCAGTGTTTTAAAAGCAAGATGCTATTGTATCTCCAAAAAGGAATCTTCCTGGTGTTTATTTCTGGTAAAGAAATTGAGTAGTGAAACTCCAGCATGACTTACAACTTCATTAAAAATTATTTATCAGGGGAAAAAAAAGTCTGTGTACATTTACCAATATTTAAGGAGAAGAGGGATTGTTCTGTTGTTTTTTCTAACTACATTTGAATCAGCATTTGAATATGTGTCATTGAAATTTCCTTGGGGGAAAAAAATTTGGAACAGATGCTGATTTCAGTTATACTGCTGTAATCTCTGAAATCAATTAATTTCTCCTGATTTAGTGTCACTGAAAATATACAATATATTTTATATGGTAATATGCAAAAAGGAAACTAATAATTTGATCTCCTGTCATTTTCTGTGTTATTTTCTATTCCGTATGCACAAATATTCAAATTATATCTTATTTTTCATAAAGAAAACCTATTGCAGATAAATATAAGCAGGCCTACACATCTACAGTAGAAATAATGCTATCACAAAATGTGATGCCTTGACTTTCTTAATTTCTTCAATAATTGTAAAATCTTGCAGTTTTGTGAAAGTCATTGGGGAAAACACAAGATAGTAATGTGTTATATTTCTATTTTTCCATGCCCACACTCTTTTCAAGTTTCCTTTTCAACAACAACAACAATAATAATACAGATCAGTTCTTCAGTTTTCTAGCACTAGCTGAAAGGTCCTGTCTGTTTATAGTGCAGTACTTTACTGATCATGGTGAAGCTTAATATTTAAAAATTAGTCTGGTTTTTTTATTCACTCTAGTCTAGGTTACACTAATAAATTTACAAAAACCCAATAATAACTCCATTTTGCCTGGAGGATGATATACAAAGATCATCATGTGTCTGAATCTGAGGCAACAGCACACACTTTGCAGAAGTGCCACTCCATCATCTTTTTGCTATAAAAGTATGCCAGTTATTTGCATTTAGAGTTTCAGGCTGAAGTGCTGATATCAAGTTATGACATTCCAAAAAAATGCAAATAGTGTACCAAGTCAGAAACAAAAGTAGCACTATAAGACATGAAGTAATCATCCTGTCCTATTTAGACCTCGTTAGATGAAATACCGAGTCCCGTTTTGGTTGTCATTTCAAGAGATGAACTAGTGTAAGAGAGCTCAGAGGAGAATAATGAGAATGATCAGAGGTCTGGAAAACAAGATCTGTGTGGAAAGATTGAAGGAAGAGTGATCACTGTCTAAAGAAGAAAAGCAGCAACAATCAGTTTGCAATAAGTAAAAGATGCTACATGAAGGTGATTATTACTGTTCTCCAGATATGTAATGACTAGGACAAGTGACAGTCTTAAAAGGCAACAGAAAGATGTAAGTATTAAGAAACAATAAAAGCAAGTGCTGGAATAAATATTTTTTTATAAGGTTGTGGAGTGTTCACAATTAAAAGCCTTTGAGAACAAGTTAAACATATATTAGTAATTACATAAATAAAACTGATCTACTTCTCCTAATCCCTTGCAGTCCAAGTATTCCAAAAGGACTTCTTCAGCTGAGACTTCTACTTTTTCAGATTTATTGTTGATTTATTGATACTACACTTTGATTTCACCATTGCCTGAACTTCATATTTTCTGTGTTGACCCCAAGATATGAAAGTTGATATATATTGGATTTGCTTCTAAGGATATTCATGCTCTTTTCAGTATTCCACTCTTTCAAAAGTGTGTAAGGGACCTCTTTTCCTATAAGAGAATAATTTCTTCTTGTTTTAAGTTCACTTCAGGATGATGCCAAACTGCTGCATAAGCAAAGGCTTTTTGAAACTTTCACTAGAAATTAAACCTCGAGATGATGGTGATACAGCAATAACCATGGATGAAGAGTGTTCCACTCCTGATTCCATTCTGCAACTGGTCTCTATGGCAAGAAATATGAAGGAACCAATGATCTGCAGCCTTGTTTAGCAAAATTATAATGAGGATTGAATGACAGAGAACAGTCTACTTCTTTGCTTTATTTTGAGCACAACTGGATTAAAAAATTAGTGATTTCTATTTGGAGATGTTGTCTAAAAAGATAATTGCTACAACAGAGAAAACTACTTTCTGTTTGAACTCTCCGATTAAGCAATCTGCACTTCACCATCAAATATAAAAATTTACAGATTTTGGGCAGAGGAAATAGCTATAAAATTTCACTAAATGCTGTCATCTATGAGGCATATTAAGTATTCAATGCACATAAAACACTTGTGAAAATAGAAGTATTAAATCAGGTATAATCTTTCAAAGTATAGAAAAATCTAAATTCTGGTTGATAGGAAAATACCTCTTTTGAGCTGATCAAATTTTTGGTTCCCTTTCATTGCCACCTTTTGACTTGAGACGGAGGAACTACATATCAGTCTTCATTGGGGGCAACTCAGTTACATAAGGCTACCTCTCAGCCTTTGCAGTTGACATGATCTGATGAACTAAAATGATACTGCCTTCCATGATTTTTGATAATTAATTAGAAATGAGAAATAAGTTGATTACGCTTACTGATTAAAATTTTCATATAGAGACAAACTAGTGGGATACACAGCAGTATATCCGATGAGCAGCTCTGTAGAAAGCCAAGAGACAAAATTCTTAGAAATCTAATGTTATGCTAATTATTCCTGGTGCTGTACTGAGTTGCTGGAAATTATTAAATGAGTTGTCTTCAAGCTCTATGCTTAAACAGGTGTGTACTGTTTACAGGCTACATTTAAAGGCTGGATGGATATTATGTACGCAGCTATTGACTCAAGAGATGTAAGTACTGCAAATATTTCAGATTACCTTTTTTCTTGAGGTCTGTCTATCAACAAGTGTTTTACATAAACAATTAATATCCATACAACAGACTGAAAAAAGAAATTAATTAGTGTGAGATTCTGTGGTAAAAAAATACGGAATACTGAATGCAAACTACCAGATGCTCTCAGCTATAGATGGAATGGACAAAATATGTTGATAAATGTGATAGGAGTATTGTCCAAACACAAAATATTGGGGACATTTTGCACAGGGTTGCCACTTGTTCAGTTGAAGTTTTCACATGAAATCTTAGGAATGGTATTTCACTTTTTTTTTCCTTAGGTATTACAGCAACCCAAGTATGAAGACAACCTGTACATGTATTTGTATTTTGTTATCTTTATTATTTTTGGGTCTTTTTTCACCCTGAACTTGTTCATTGGTGTCATTATTGATAACTTCAATCAACAGAAAAAGAAGATAAGTATTGTTTCATTTCCCTTCTAAAGATATTCTAAAATATTGCATTTTTGCAGGTGCATGATATATGGAAAGTACACCCATGGTTTGTTCAAAATGGAAAAAGCTGAAGTATATTAGGACATAAAATCATACCTCTAGTAGGCATTAACATCACAAGATTTTTCACTGTAGTAAATGGGACAGATGTTGTCAATGTCCAGTTTAGTATTCCTCAAGTCATCTGCTTTTCCGTGCCTGAACTTCATGAAATCACCTTGCATGATCAAACCACTGACTTAGGTCTCTACATCAAAGCACTCATCATTTCTTGAATTTTCTTTCTTCTTGATTTGTAGCTATTCTATCAGCACACAAACAGCTGGTCATGAAACATAAAGCATTATTTCATCACACAACTTCAGGTGCTATTTTAGTGGTCACTACAGATGCTGTTTTAATGAACTCAGGTATTCAAGTTTTACTTTGTGGCACTGAACAATCTTAACCACTTGTAGCAGGAGTGGTTTCTAACTATCTCAGGGCCTTTTTTTTATTGTTTCACAGTGCAGATGTAGAAAATCTCACTGGTATAGATGGTCTGAGTATAAATGCTCATCTTTAAAATTATTTTCTGCAAATAAGTAAAGCAAAGAAAGCTAAAGGACAAAAGCAGCTACGAATTACTAGTTTACTTTTACTTTACTGGACTGCATCACTTTCTTTGGGTTCATATTAACAACGAGAGATGCTAAGTAAGATTTTTGGAAGCTGTACATGGTAGAGACCTAGAGGTATATGGTTAGGGAGCCTGTCCAGCTTAGAGTCCATGCAATCCCATGTCTTCAAGCTTCCCATGCACTCATCCACAAAGGGCTGTATCCAATCCCATGCATGCATTGACATTCCTGGAATTAGATGTCTGCAAGTATCTTTTATCAATGAAAAATTTTCTTCATGAGGTATGGGAAGTCTGATAGGTTTTCATTCAAGCTGTCCCTAAGAGGAGGTTACTACGGATTTTGCCTAGGTTGCCATGAATGACCCATAATTCTCTCTTTATTGTTACTGTCAAACACCAAAGGCCTGTTCAGGCTTTTGCTAAACTGAACTTCATTGAACATGGAAGCTAATCAAGATAAAAGACTTAAAAGAGAACATTTTGCTCTTAACAGTATCAAGAGTGATTCAATCTTTAGCTAAGTTTCTCCAAAGTCTGATAATCAATCTTCTCAAAAACCTTGAAGACTTTGAGTCCCAATGCTAATATTATGATTGCTAGAGATACCTAAAGCACTAACACAGTCATGTACTGAAAACCTGACTTTGTCTGCTTCCTTTGTTTCACTAAAATTGCAGAAGTGACAGTACTGAGCAGTCCAGACTATTTGAGCTTCTCTTACTTCTACTACTTACTGTATCTCTTCCTATAAACGAGGTACTGAAAATGATTTCAGTACCTTGGAGGTCAAGGAAACTAACTGTAGAGAAATGTTGCATTGCTTTTTGCTTTTGTGAGATGCAGTACTGGATGCCCAGACAACTTCTAGACTAAATGTTTACTTTAGACAGACAGCTGCATCTGCTAGCTAAGAGATTTTTCCCAATTCAGTATTCTTGATTTTCATTAAATCAGTCAATCAATCAATCATATTTTTCTAAGAGTTTTTTTCAGCACTGCATATGAATGTGATTATAACCAGTTTTGATTTCATGTTTTTACTTTGGAGGTCAAGACATATTTATGACAGAAGAGCAGAAGAAATACTACAATGCAATGAAAAAGCTGGGATCCAAAAAACCACAAAAACCTATACCAAGACCAGGGGTAAAATTATTTATACACATCAGACCAATAGCTATTTACAAAGAGTTTTTACTGATACAGAGAGAGCAGAAATATGCCCAGGTGAAAATTACCATTGATTGTGTATTAGTAAGCAGAAATGGAAAATAAAAACAGAAAAAAAATATTTTTCCCTGACAACCATTTTATGTATGAATATGCAACTGAGGAGGCTGAACTAAGCCATTGTATTTGAGTATTCAAGACCACTAGTCTTAAGTACCACTAGACCACATTTTTATTGAAGTCTCATAGGCCTTACTGCATGTGGTTTTCTACCTTCTTGTAACAGGAAAAGAAAAAAATTACAGTTTGTATTGAATGTTTCTTTTTTACTTTCCTCCTCAGAATAAATTCCAAGGCATGGTCTTTGATTTTGTGACACAGCAAGTATTTGACATCAGCATCATGATTCTTATTTGTCTTAATATGGTTACCATGATGGTAGAAACTGATGACCAGAGTAAAGAAATGGAAAATATTTTATACTGGATAAACCTGGTGTTCATTGTCCTTTTCACTGGAGAATGTGTCCTGAAATTAATTTCACTTCGCCATTACTACTTCACTATAGGCTGGAACATTTTTGATTTTGTGGTTGTCATTCTCTCAATAGTAGGTAAGTCTTGTTTATTAAAGTAAAAAAAAGGTAAAATGAATAAGAGGTGAACTTTTACTTGAATAGAGCTTATATGGTTAGCTTTTGCCTTTGCAAGATTTATCAGCCAAGGCATTCAACTTCTCATTTTATCTCATACTTTAGCTAAACCAACCATCAAAACTGTTACAATCATTCAACATATATTGCACCTGCAACTATTAAGTATAACTTCTATAACAGAAACTATTCAAGTGGGATCTACAGAATATCTTGGATTGCTACACAGAACTAACAATTTTAAAACTATTTTTCTAAATTTCTATTGTGATATGGAAATATGTGTCTTGGTTTTTTTCTTTTCTTTTTTAGGAATGTTTTTAGCTGAGATGATTGAGAAGTACTTTGTATCCCCCACACTATTCAGAGTCATCCGACTTGCCAGAATAGGTCGAATCCTGCGCCTCATTAAAGGCGCCAAGGGAATCCGCACTCTGCTTTTTGCTTTGATGATGTCTCTTCCTGCTCTGTTCAACATTGGTCTGCTGCTCTTCCTGGTCATGTTCATCTATGCGATATTTGGCATGTCCAACTTTGCCTATGTTAAGAGGGAAGCTGGTATAGATGACATGTTCAACTTTGAAACGTTTGGCAACAGCATGATCTGCCTGTTTCAGATCACCACGTCTGCTGGCTGGGACGGTTTGCTCGCCCCAATTCTGAACAGTGGGGAGCCCGACTGTGACCCTAACAAGGCTCATCCTGGGAGCTCTGTGAAAGGTGACTGTGGCAACCCTTCTGTTGGGATTTTCTTCTTTGTCAGCTACATTATCATCTCCTTTCTGGTAGTGGTGAACATGTACATTGCTGTGATTTTGGAGAACTTTGGTGTTGCTACTGAGGAGAGCGCTGAACCCTTGAGTGAGGATGACTTTGAGATGTTCTATGAGGTTTGGGAGAAGTTTGATCCCGATGCAACACAATTCATGGAATTTGAGAAATTGTCTGATTTTGCAGCAGCACTTGAGCCTCCTCTTCATTTACCCAAACCAAACAAAGTCCAGCTCATTGCAATGGATCTGCCCATGGTGAGTGGTGACAGAATTCACTGCCTTGACATCCTGTTTGCTTTCACAAAGCGTGTTTTGGGGGAAAGTGGAGAGATGGACGCCCTCAGAATACAGATGGAAGATCGATTTATGGCATCCAATCCTTCAAAAGCTTCCTATGAACCAATTACGACTACATTAAAACGAAAACAGGAGGAAGTATCTGCTGTTATCATCCAGCGTGCTTTCAGACGTTACCTTTTAAAACGAACAGTAAAACAAGCTTCCTTTATCTATAACAAAAACAAAACCGAAGGAGGGGCTGGTCAGGGTATGAAAGGTGAAATCCTTATTGACAAATTAAATGAAAACTCATTTACAGAGAAAACTGATATAACTGCATCTACAGCAGTTTGTCCACCTTCTTATGATCGTGTAATAAGGCCAGTCAAAGAAAAGCATGAAAAGGAAGATAAAGATGGTCAGAAATAAAAGCAAATCACAAGCAAAATCATATATGTGCAAAATAGTTCATAGGCTGTAAGGATCACGTGTTTGTGTCAACAGGACTCCTGAAGGAGGTCTATGCCAAACTGACAATTTTTACAAATATACTGTACATTAAAGGTCAGTGCCTATTAAAAGACAGTGACCCCTTGTCAGTGACTGTGACTGTGATAAGAGGAAACAACCTTGACAGGAGGTTACTGTTCTCACTACCAGCTGACACTGCTGAAGAGGAGAGAAAAAATGGCTACACAGACTGTAGGGACCAGTTAAAGGGGTGCAAAACCAAGTATTTGTGTGTTTAGCATAAAACAATATGGTAACTGTATCCACTGTTTGCATTTCAACTGCCACATACTTCATATTTTTACAAAATCTGTGTTGGTGGATTCATCTTGTTTTTATTCATATGTTGTTTATTATATGTGACTATTTTTGTAAATGGGGCTTCTGTTTGGGAAGGGGATTAAGTACACCTTTACAGGTACAAGGGCCAGGTGTTCTATTATATGACTAATATACACAAAGAAATTATTTGCATGAAGGCATGCTGCACTTATAGATCATGCATGAAAATAACATAAAGTCACAAAGAAAAACAGGTTTTTTTAGTACAGTGTTTCTGGAAAGGAATAACAGATTTTGAGGTGCTTAATTAATGTATTCATGTTGTATCATGTCCAAACAAGTCTTGGTATGCCTGTAAAGTCCCCTACAACTCACAAGAATAGTAGAGATGGTTTATTTTTTGCACAAACCATTAAGTTTCAAGCGGTGCAAACTTCTTTCTAGGTCTGGAGTCACAGATTTTGTCTTTGTCAAATGTCTTTCTGCATACAAATACTAAATGAATCTGCCTCAGCCCTCCAAATTGATCAAAAGGAGCCCTTTATAAAGTTGTTCTGCTTTATCCTGCAGTATTGTTTAGCCATCTTCAGCTCTCAGTAAGGTTGATGTTGTTGTACACGTTAATGAAAAGCCCTCTGCTATGTAAATAGTAATTTTTAACCTGTGGTGCATGTTTGAGCAAAGAGATAATGACTTTAGCACATTTATTGCATCAAATATGTACCACAATAAGTGTAGTGTGCAAGCGTTCAACAGGAAAAATTACGTATTATCTACCATTATAGATAGTTTGGATGCAATCAGTGCATGTTTATATTGCCTATGCTGCTGTTCCTTTGACTGTCCAGGATTCTTAAACATTGAAAGCCATACATCAGAGCTAAGTGAAATAAACTACTCAACAAGACCTCATTCCTCCATACCATTAAGCAATATTTTGCAGCTATTTAGGAGCTTATTTGTTTTACATTTCTGAATTTTCAGTGAAGAGCATATACTGTATATCCAAACTGTACAGACATGTTGAAAATTACTAAACCTGTTGAAAATAATGTTAGGATTTTATAAGCAAATATAAATACTGTAAAAATCATTTTATTTTATTTTTCAGCATTATGTACATAAAACAAGAACTGAATTTTATCTTCAGGTTGATGTCACACCATTTTTGTTACTTTCTGTCCATAGCACTTTTTCACAGAAGAACTCCAGAGAACAAGATACAACTACATGAATGGATAGCTGTAGGTTCTTATTTTTTACAATATTTGCCAACATGTCACTACTTTCTGCAAAGTAAGTTCATAATTTGCTTCAAAAAATCTAAGTTTTTTTGCAGTTGGGAAATGGTCTAAAGTTCAAATTGAATGTCTAAGCAGTGCCTGCATCATAAGTTTTCAGATACAACCTTTCTTTCACAGAATCCTTAATCTTTTCTCATAGTTACTCACAGATTTTCTTTTTTATTCATGCTGCACTAGAACAGCTCTAAATGTTATCTAGGGTCCACAATATTTTTTCACAAAGAGAAAGTAGCAAAATTGTATAATCCAACACATCAGGACATTTTATGTTTCTTACACAGGAAAATTAAATATAGATTACTTTTATTAAAATTATTGACTAACTCTGTATTAGTGAACTGCATGCAGGAAAATGCTACTATTACCCTAACTGATGCTAAAAAACATTATTAATGCGTCAAAATAATAAAGATTACATTTTTTATTGTATGTTCCTTTTCTCTTTATTATCTGACATTAATATAAAAAGATATGCTTCTAAAACCACAGAATGAGACGGTACTGAAAACCTTTACAGCCATACTGTTCTTTCACTAGCAAATCCTTAGGACTTGCTTGTTAGTCACCAACTAGGAATTTCTACTTCAGTGTATGTTAGACAGTGAGCATGATGATTCTGCATGTATCAATAGTTCTGCCTGAGTGACCTCATGACTTCATGATTCATGCAGCAGCCCCATGCAGTGGGGTACCACAGCTGTGCTGACTGTGTCCCACGAGGCTCAGAGCATTTAAAGAAATGAGAACTGAGCATTCATGAGTTTACAAAGAGAAAATGAGTATTAAAAATAGTATTGGATACATGACATTCCCCAACTTGGATTAAGGACCAGTTTATTCTTGATGGCTACTGTTCACAAACAGGCTAAAGAGCATCTTGCACTCAAGTGCATTTCTGAAAAAGGTGAAACAGAGTTGGGATGAATAACCACTGGTCTTTTCCTCAGGAATTTTAAGAATCTGTCTCAAAGCACCATGTTCCTAGAAGCAATCATTTGTGGATACTGATATGGAAAAATGCAAATGCTGCTGGAAATTGAGCCTTCTGGTTGTTCTTTATCAATCGCTTCAGTGAATTTCTGAAAATATTGATTTTAATGTTTACATAATTTTATATTGCATTTCCCCACAACTTACAATGAAAACACTCAGAGGTGAATAGTGAACTTAGTATAAAACCAGATTAGGAGCAATTGCAGTCTGTAAGCTTGCTCAGTGGCTATTGCAGAAATAAAATTTCATAGCATCTTCCCTGAAATTCATCAAAAGTCATTTGAGAGCGGGAAATGTTTCTCCTTCAAATTGTTCGTAAATGCATTATGAAAGAAAAAGGTCTAAGACTTCGATAGAAAAGCCTAAGTATCCAAGTGAAAAGATAAGTATTTTCAGATTAATATGTAGACAAAATATGTCTTTAAAGTTAACCTTTAAAACTATGTAAACCCCCCCTTGTTTTTCATGCCACTTTTAGGTTTTAAGTGTTACAGAAGCCAAAATGTTGCTTCAGAACAAGTCAAACGTAATTTAGACAGAAAATTCAGAGGATTGTCTTGGCCAACAAGAAAACCCAAATATGTTTACACGGTGCTGCTTTGTCTCCTTCCTGATGCTGGGATAAGAAGTGTGTGATGGAGGAGTCACACCTGGGGTGGACTTGCTTGGAAAGCTCACTCTGAGCGCTCTCTGCCGGAAGAGTCAATGAGCTTCTCGGAGAGATTCAGTGCAGGATGGGCTCTGCCCTTGTGCTGGGTGGCATTCCTGAGGCTTTCCTGTTGGACGGAAGGCGCACGCGTTCCAAAGGAACGCTGTTCAGCAATTTTTGTTCCTGGTGTCTAGAAATTATGGCTGAGGACGCTTTCACCTCCAGAGGAATATCTGAATTTCGCTAGTCTTTGCACCTCTGTAATTCTCCAGGAGGAACGAAAGGGGGATGAGGTAAAAGCGACCTTTCTATATCGGATTTTATCCTATTGCTGTTTTATTTCTAAGAGAAGTGTCACGTAACTCGAAGTGCTCAGGGTTGAGTCACATTATGAAATCTATGGAGGGTGGGCCACTTAGTCAGCCAAGAAGCAAGAAAACAAACAAATTCCCGAAGCTCCCCCTCGGCATTCCGGCTGTGACCCCTCCTGAGGGACAGCCGGCGGCACCGCCCACCCGCCGACAGGGGGCGCAATAGCCGCATTCCGCCGGCCTCCCCAAGTTTTCCTTCCCGTGCCTCTCCCGCCCCCTTCCCGTCCAGGCCAATGGCAGAGCGCTGCCCCCGCCCTTCCGCAGCCCCCCCGCCGTGCCGCTGGGTAGCAACCATGGACGCCGAGGTGCAGCAGGTGGGCGCCGCCGCCGCCCCGCCCAGGAGGAAGGAGCGGCTGGGAACGAGGGATGGAGCGGGGACGGCCCGGGGGGGCCGGGGCAGGAGGGCGAGCGGCCGGGCCGGGCTGGGACGGTGCGGGGCGGTCGGCGCGGTGTCCCTGGGGCCGTCCCGGGTGAAGCGATCGCACGAGTGACCCGCGGCCGCTCCCCCCGCAGGCGCTGCTCAATTACTACTGCCAGGAGGGGCAATTCCAGCACGTCCGGGCCGCGGCGGACGAGGCGCTGGGGCGGCTGGGCAGCGACCCCGTGCTGCTCTTCTACCGGGCCTACGGCGCGCTTAGGGCAGGTAATGCTGCTCGTCCTCGCCTCACGGAACTCAGTCTTTAGTCAACTGCGCAGGGAAAAGCAACATTACGGAGTCTGTTTTCCGTGTTGAGGAAATCACCAGTGTGTCGTGATCTGTCACCGCTCCTTTCCAGTTTGGATGAAAGTGATCTAAATCACGTAGTGCTAAAGTGAAAAATACGGAGTATTTTTCTTTTTAATGGTTACGTGAACATGGGTCAGGTAAATGGATTCCCTGAAGGGAATTTGAGCTCTACCCAAACGCATACAGCGTTCGATAACAAAGTCATTCCCGTGTCCCAGCTAATAGCTCTTCCCTTCAAAGCAGCTGTATCTAATTCTGTTGTATTCTCTGCCTTGGGGGAGCTGATAGCTAATACCTATTGGGGTAATTTTTGTGTACATTAAACTGTTCTAATATGTTTATTTAGTTATATTTGTATTTCAAGGATGTCGCAGAATATAAACAGATAACCCAAAGTGGCAGATGGCTGTAGCAGGGGTCTAGGAAGGTTTGTTGATTTTGACAAACTCCGAGATGTTTTTTATTTGTGTTACAATCATATAATTTTTGAAGATATTGTCTATCTTATTGATGTTCAAACTGTTCACACGAGCAGGGCAAAAATCCTGGCTGTGTAAAGAAACGAGAACAAAAAGAGCTGCTCAATGCCCCATATGAAGTAAATAATAAATATGATATTCATCTTTATGGCAGTTGGCAGAACTAGCACATAACTCCTTTCAAGTTCTCTGCATTGAGGTGCTATTTTCTTTCTTGTGTCTGTTTGAAAGACTTGCACAGAGAAGTGAAAGTGGATGTGTGAATAATGAACAAAAGCATGGAATTAAAAATAGAGAGGAAAATTTAAGTCAGATCGATGTTTGATGTTGATATTCTTTATCTTGAGAAGCTTTATACCTTATTCTGCAATTGTTTTCACTAGGTGATGTCCAAGAGGGTATTCGACAGTTGGAGTCTCTTAAAAACAAACAGGAGGTGTCACTTTGTACAATGATGGCTCTGATTTATGCTCATAAAAAGAGCCCTAATCCAGGTATGCTCACTAAAACATGCTGCTTCATGTTTTATACAGCTCTGTATGAAGGTCTGAGAGTTGTAGGCTAATTCTGCCTAATTTAAAAAGGTATACTCCAGCTTTGTTTCTGACATGGGATTTTTTACTGAATTGAGTGACACTTAAAAGATAGTAAACAGAAACCAAACCACAAAACTCTGAAGAGAAAGAGTGAATGTTAAAATAAAACACACACACACAAGTCTGACTTATCCGCCATGATGAACAAATCTTTGAGGGAAAAAATATTGAATCAAGTTTCTTGTGATTCTTGTTCACTCATGTCTGATACTGGTACTTTTGAGCAGAACTGGAATTTAAGAAATCTTTAAAGCCATGCCATTTTTATCTGTCAAGTTTCCCTGACCATACAAATCGAGAAAAAGAATTTTGTGAACCTTGGTATTCCTTTCTCCAGTCTGAAAACTGGGACTTCCTCTTCCCATGAGCCGTGTTGATGGGAACCCTCTTCTGCCTTTTCCGTCTGTAACTGATAAATATTTTTAGTTGGGAGGGATTGCTTGTGTGTTTATCAGTGTACAATAAAGAAAACAGTATTTGCTTTGGAAGATCTTGGCTTATGTGCTGCTCTTTTGTAATATTTTGAGAGGCTATCAACAAGAGCTCTGAACAAAACCTTTTCAGATCGAGATGCTATTCTAGAGTTGGATGCAAAATTGAAGGAGCAACGTAAAACAGCAGGACAGAAGGCTCTCTACTATGGTGGCTTGTTTTTGTGGCATCTTGGTCGTGAGGACAAAGCCCGGGAATATGTTGATAGAATGATCAAAATTTCTGGTGGTGGTAAAGAGGTAACTGTTTCCTTCATATGTAAAATATTGATAGGGCCATGTGTACTGTGAAGCTTGACTTATTCCATTAATGCTGTTTGAAGGTTAACTATTTTCTGTTCTAGTACTTTCTTAATAATTGTCATAAATTCTTCTGACACAGCTGAGTAAATTCCCATGATAATTTTTTTCTCCACCAAGGATTTGTTTTCACTTAGTAAATAATAAATAATGGCTTAATAAATGAAAAAAAAATCGCTTAATAAATGGAAATAAATACCCACTTAAGCTTGATACTGAGCATCATAATTCTAGCAAAAAAATAAGCGTGATAGTCTCACTAGAGGGAGACATCTGTTTTGAATCTGAAGACTCTAAAATACTCAGAGGATTGGGGATTTAAATTTTCAGCAGTTGTTAAAGGGTACATTTGCCTAGGGTTCTACTGTTTTTGGTTTTTTTTAGAAATCTCTATAAGTGTCATATGTTGCAATGCCTGCAACATTTATATACAGACATCAAAATTCACTAGAATTTTTAATCTCTAAAGAGGTTTATGAAAACTTACTATGGTTTTTCTTTTCAAGGAGGTATCAGCTTTAGCTCAAGCAGAGAAACACAAAAACTTGGGGAGTTTTTGTAGTCCAACATCTTTGAGGCAGAGCTGTCAGAACTGAATGCGTAATTGTTCTCTTAGGACACAAGTATTAAACAAAAATGCTGTTTGTGAGTTGTCCCACTGTGTGGTTCAGTACATTGCTCAATTTGTAATTTATAGTTTTATGGTTGATATAATATTACATGGGTTAGAAATCTGCAACTGTTCTAAACATTAATTTCTGACATTATATTATGAATTAAGTAATGGCTTAGCTTTTCAACTAACACCGATTATTAATTACAA